AAACCAATGTGGCCCAAATGAAAGAACAGATCAAAGCTCCAGAAAAAGAACTAAGAGATGAGGAGATAGAGAACCTATCAGATGCACAGTTCAAAACTCTAGTACTCAGGACGCTCACAGAAACGGATGAGTTCAGAGGAAGAAGTGAAGGTTGTGCAAAGTGAAATAAAAAAATACAGCCCTGGCTGGTGTAGCTCAGTGGATTGAGCGTGGGCCTGCGAACCATGCGATCGCGGTTCAATTCCCAGTCAGGGCACATGCCTGGGTTGCAGGCCAGTTCCTAGTGGGGGACACATAAGAGGCAACCACACACTGATGTTTCTCCCCCTCTCTTTCTCCTTCCCTTCCCCTCTCTCTGAAAATAAATAAATAAAATATTTAAAAAAATACATACAGGGAACCAACACTGAAGGGAAGGAAACCAGGACTCAAATCAACGATTTGGACCAGAAGGAAGACATAAACATTCAATCAGAATAGAATAAAGAAACAAGAATTCAAAAAAATGAGGAGAGGCTTAGGAACCTCCAGGACAACCTTAAATGTTCCAACTACTGAATCATAGGGGTGCCAGAAGGAGGAGAGGAAGATCAAGAAGTTGAAAACTTATCTGAAAACATAATGAAGGAGAACTCCCCCAATCTGGCAAAGGAAATAGACTTCCAGAAAGTCCAGGAAGCTGAGAGTCCCAAAGAAGTTGGACCCAAAGAGGAACACACCAGGGCACGTCATAATTAAGTTACCCAAGATGTAAGATAAGGAGAGAATCTTAAAAGCAGTAAGAACAAAGAAGACAGTCACTTACAAAGATTGCCCATAAGGCTATCAGCTGATTTCTCTGAAGAAATCTTGCAGGCAAGAAGGGGCTGGAAAGAAGTATTCAAAGTCATGAAAGGCAAGGACCGACTTCCAAGATGACTCTATCCAGCAAAGCTTTCATTTGGAATGGAAGGGAAGATAAAGAGCTTCCTAGGTAAGATCAAGTTAAAGGAGTTCATCATTACCAAGCCCTTATTACATATAATGTTAAAGGGACTTATATAAGAAAAAAGAAGATGATCAAAAATGTGAATAGTAAAATGACAACCAACTCACAACCGTCAACAACCAAACCTTAAAAAAACAAAACAAAAACAAAAACAAACTAAGCAAACAACTAGAACAGGAACAGAATCACAGAAATGGAGATCCCACGGAGGGTTCTCAGTGAGGAGGGGGAGGGGGAAAAGATATAGGGAATAAGAAGCATAAATGGTAGGTACAAAATGGACAGAGGAAGATTAAGAATAGTATAGGAGATGGAGAAGCCAAAGAACTTATATGTATGACTCATGGACATGAACTACAGGTTGTGGGGAGAATGATGGTGGGAGGGGGGTGCGGGGCAGAGGGGGATAAAGGGGAGGAGAAAAATGGGACAACTGTAATAGCCTTATCGATAAATATACTTAGAGAAAAAGACTGGTTACACCTATTGCTGGTGGGAACACAAGTAGTTAATCATCGCTCTTGGACGGCTCAGCATTTGGAAAAGCAATCTGGAAGCATCTATTAAAATTAAAGTTAAAAATACATGTGCCTTTTGACCCAACAGCTCCAATCCTAGGAACCTACCTCACAGATAATAAAAATAGCAGAAAAATACTAGATGCACAAGGATGTACAATGAATTCTTGCTTATGGTAGAAAAACAAAACCCTGAAACAACGCTCATGTCCTTCCAAAGGGCAAAGGTTGATTTCACTGACATGTTAAGGAATTAAAGAGCCATTAAAAAGAATAAATCAGTGCTGTGTCGTAAGACTTACCATGAATAACTGGTGAGGGAAAGCATGTGAAGGATATCGGGTATAAATGTACCCCATTTTTAAAAAGAAGTAATACGACCCGTTCCCACCCCACCCCCAATTGTGCGCAGGAAGATGCAGAAAAATCCAGACCCGGCTGTCCTCACGGTTCGGGGGCACAGACAGGAACATGGTGGGGGATGGGAGAGGGTGAGGGAGGACCCAAGCAGAAGGGGAGGAGGACTGCATTAACATGGAATCAATACATGTAACACAGTATTTATATGTTAATGTAAATGCGTGCCAGTAGATGGGAGACAAAAATCCTAATTATATGGGATCCGGCACAAATAACACCGCTTTTTATTACAAACTCTTTTACCACAGAATCATCAGCAGGTAATTCTGTAACATAGCAATATCACACTCAGGCACACCATGTGACATTTTAGGTGACATGTTAGGTGAAATTAAAACTATAAATGGTTACACCCACGTTATTACCCTGCCAACCACACGCCAGCAGGCCTTCCTTCTGCTGGATCCTGTATGTGTGTTTTAAACATTTCTGTTAACCTAAAACACCCCAGTGCCCATCCCTTCACCAACAGTTTGGCTCAGAGCCATGGTGCTTTCAGAGAGGAAGACTATTTTGGGGGAGGGCTGGGGGAGGCCGAAGAGAGTGTAGGGGGATAAATGGTGACGGAAGGAGACCTGACTTGGGGCGGTGAGAGATGATGTGTTACAGAATTGTGCACTACTGAACCCTATATGATTTTATTAACCAGTGTCACCCCGATAATTTTTTAAAGACTCTCTTGGGGAGCTCAGCTCCACCAGCCTTCTGTACACCCTTCATGTGGTGCCTCTGTGGAGCGCAGTGAACACCCACACACGGGTTTTGTGTGGACATGTTTGGATCTCCCGGATCAGTGCAAAGGCGTGGCACTACCGGTCCCGTGGCTGCAATTCCGTGGCCCTTCCGGTAGGGCTTCAAGCCCTCACCCCACGTACTCACAGGTGTGCTGTCTGGTCACACTGACAGCTTCCTTTGTCTCTCGTGCCCTGTGGAACCTAGCACCTGCCAGCACAGATACCTGGGAGGCGGGCCCATGTCCCATGCTGCTGACGGCAGAGGAAAATGAGCCTGAGAACTGACCGTGGGACCCTAGGCTGAGGCGACTGATGGCCGCCGTGACAAGCGGTGGGGCTGAACACCTGACACAGGTGGGTTCTAGAAAGAACAGGAGGAGAGTAGTCGGACAAGGGAAGAACAGAGCGCCCCTCTGGAAAGTCTCCCATGGAAGACGGCAGAGCAGGGAGACAAGACCTGGACGGGGAAGCGGGTCTGCACAGTCCTGGGGGGGGTTTGATGTGAGAGGTGACGTTTGCAGGATGTAGTAGCGAGGCTGAAGCTGAGGGTGGAAGGGTGGACAACTGGCTGACGTCCCCGAGTCAGCGAGAGGAAGTGGTGTCCTCCGCGTAAGTATTGCAGTGCCGGAGGTGGCTCTCTGTCCCCTGAAACCCGTGTGTTGAAACCCTACCCCTCAAATGTGACCGCATTTTGAGACAGAGCCTGTGAAGAGGCAAAAAAGTTAAATGAGGTCATAAGGGTGGGGACCTAATCCAAGGGAACAGCAGATGGAGGTCCTTGTCAGGAGAGAGAGACACTGGAGCTCCCGCCCTGCCTGGAAGGGGAGAGGTCCTCACCAGGAACCAAACCCACTGGAACTTTGCTCTTAGATGCCCCAGCCTCCAGGGCTGTGCATAAATAATAAATAAAAAATCATAAAAAATAACTCTTTAAGCCACCCAGTCTGTGGTTTCTATTAGCAAAGAAAATAAGAAAAGCAGAGAGACTGGTTTTAGGAGAGGCAAGAATTCATCTACAGCAGCAGAAGCCAGTGAGGGGTGGGTGGATGGGTGGGGTTGGGGAGGTGCGCACCCGGGGCCAGTGCAGCCCCGTGTGAGCAGGGGAGGCCCAGGGGCTCTCTGAACGTTTCTATTGTCAGTGGCAGAGGAAGCAAGGGGAGGAGCTGAGAGGCCAGGGCTGCAGGTCTAAGAAGAGCGGTGAGGAGAGGGCACCCGGACCAGGGTGACGTCATTCGCACATCTGAGAAACGCCCTGAACCAGTGTGAGATCTGCGGTTACCGTCACGAAACTGCGAATCCACTGGGGCCTTTTTCCCGAGGGATGTTCAGCAGTTTGGGCGGAAAGCAGTGGAGGTCACTGTAATCACGGTTGGGATTTGGCTGGATGAGAAAGTCGAGTCGAGGGGAAGAGCGTGAAGGTCAAGGAGCAATACCAAGGAGGGACGACGAGGATCCGAAGCAGGAAGAAGCATGGAAGGCCAGAGAGCGGCGGTGGGGTCGCTGGCTGGCCAGTGGGGCCCTGGAGGCAGTGACGCAAAGGACAGCAGGGCGGGGACCCTGGGCCTGCGGGGGCGCAGGCGTCCAAGACCGCAAGGTCGGGGGCCAGACTGGGGCAGCGCTGGTGAGAAAGGGGAAGTCAAGATCTGGGAGGAGGCCATGCCAAGACGTCGCGTTTGTAGGTTTTGAAAGAACGCAGCGTCCGGGCAGTGACATTGACCGAGTGCTAAAATCTGCACGGAAGCACCGAGAGAGGCAGAAAAGGGGATGTGGGGCGGCACACGAGTGCGGAAGCTGAGGGCGGGTCTGGAAGCACAGGGCGCCCAGGCGGAGGCCTGCACTCCAGAGGGAGGGAAGGCCCAGCCGCCAAGGGGCACAGGCAACGGCGGTGGCTGTATGACGGCCGGACGGGGCTGGGCTGGGCTGGGGCTACCCTCTTACTCCTGCATTTGTATATGGCCGAATGGTTTCTAAGAGTTCTCTGCTGTCCACCTGTCCGTGTGGCCACTAACACAACCCCCTCAATGGCTGAGAGATGTCAATGACACGCATCTCCCTGCCCCACCCAGGTCCCATGCCTGCGTTTGGGGGCGGGGCGTCTTTGTGGGAAACGGAAGACCCCCGAGACCTCGCCCCCTCAGCATCCATGCCCCCAGCAGCGAAGGGCTCTGTCCCTCTCCTCCTCCTCTCCACCACCGATCCCACTATGAATTATTTTTCCTCTAAAACAAGGCAAGTTGGGTATAGATATCAGTGAAAAGCCTTCAGCCCCCCGAAGGGAGGTGACAATTTTAATTCTGTAACTTTGGAGGGAAAAAGAGCCGAACCACCTGGTTGTTTATATACATATTCACATTTATTTACATTTTGTTATAAAGTGTACAGACAGTGGGGTGACTAATGCGTGTTCGTCTGTTCAGTTTCAGCACACATTCGGTTGCTGAAGTTCTGTCCCACAGGACGTGGCCTGACCAGGCAGGTCAGTGGCTGGAGCACCGCCCCACACGCCAGGCTGCGGTCTGCTCCCCCAGCCAGGGCACACGGCAGCCGGCAATGAGTGTGTCGATAAGTAAAACAACGTGCTGGTTCTCTCTCCCCTTCCTGTCTCTCACTAAAATCAATAAATAAAAAATAATACAATAATATTTTTAAAATTCTCCCCTAAGGACATCTTGTTATTGCTTTTAGAGAGAGAGGAATGGGAACAGAAAGAGACATCGATGAGAGAAGCAACACCTGGTTGGCTCTCATATGCACCCCGGCCAGGAGCACCAAAGGTAAAACCGGGGCATGTGTCCCGGCTAGGAACCCAGCCTGCAACCTTCCGGTCTGCGGGATGACATTCCAACCAACTGGCCAGGCTGTAACATAAATTCTCAAAAAAGAGAAAGCCTGGGGAAAAAAAGAGGGGAATTGCAGAGGAGAACACGCGACAGAATCCATCACTGCTTTAAAAAAGATGGTATAAAAATAAAGGAGGGTCGGCGACATGGCTTTTAAAGTTAGTGGTCGAGCGTTTGCTTTTATTTTCTAGGAGCTGTCAACTGGAGCTGCAAGAGAAAAATGTCCCCATCAGTACCCAGTCAAATGCAGTCAGTTAGTGTTGCAGGTCGAGTCACGATTACCCTCCCCCTCAAACACGAGTGGCCCTTTTGTGATAAATCCCTCAGCAGCAAGGGTGCAGGCAGAGCTGGAGGGAGACTGGTCTGGAGGCTGCGTGGCAGCTGGAGAGCCACCTTCAGCAGCGCGGCCCTGACCAACAACTTCCTTCCCTGACTCAGTCTAGGAGCGCAACCGAGGTCTCCACCCGGCGGAGCTGAGGCAAGCCAGGAAGGCCGCTGCTGCCCCTTCCAACACGTATTTCCTCCTTTGCCACTTGGCTCTCCCGGGTGGCCACCTTGCCACCGCAACTTCTCCTCTGTTGCCTCTGCAGTGAGCTAACACCCCTGGGTTAGCTCAGAGGAAGTCCCCCCCTGAGCAGGCCCCTCCACCTTCCACTTGCTTTTTGTCTCTTCCAGTCTGGATTTCCACAGACCAGAGCAGATCAGACGGGATCAGACAGGATCAGATGGGACCAGCCCAGCCCAGCCCAGAGTTCCCAAAACACCGGAACCAGCCTTCATAAGAATTCCAGCCGTGGCCACAGGGTCAGGGAAAGGATGATAAATTGGAGCTTCCCTTAGCCAGAGCCTCGCAGAACATGGACAGTGTGCTGTGATTCCCGAGGGGGGTGGAAGGGGTGGCCCTTCTCAAGCTCATCCTGGCCAGCCCAGGGCTCCCTGAGAGCAGCACCTTGCCAAGCTTGTGCCCCCTGCCCCCCAGCTCCCCAGCCCCTGCCCTCTCCCCAAGGGGCTCCCTGCCCACCCCACAGCCTGTTGCAGCCCCTGCCGAAGAATCAGGCCTGCATCGCCAGCTCCCCTGCGGGCTGAGATGCCGCCCGCCAATCCTGCCTCCCAGAGAAAGGGGCGACTCTGCTGCCTTTTTAATGGGACAGGGTTTGCTCTGTTTTCCAGGCATTTAGCACAAAGGAAGAACACCAGCACCCCCGGCAACGGCCTAAACCGTCCTGCCCAGGCGAGGCGTGCCCTGCCACGTCCGCTCTCCCTCAGACACCTGCTGTCTCCCTGACTGTCCTCAGACACGTCCAGCTGGCCTTCCATCTTCCTGACACCATCCTCGAGGAGAGGTGACAAGTCTGCATTTGCTCCTGGTCATACTTACCCCTCCCCGACTCTTCCCCTAATCCCTGCCCCTCCATCATGCAGGGAACTCTTTCCTAAGTGAGTTTAGGGCACTCCCCCTGAAGCCACAGTAGGCTCTTTAAATTTAAACATTATCATCAAATAGGCAGGACACACACAAAGTGCAAAATTCGAATAGTATACCGAGCACACAAAAATATACCGAGAAAAGTGAGCCCCTCTCCCACGGCAGCCCCAAGCTCCCCAGGTGTCCCCCCAGGACGTCACCTCGGAATGTCAGTTCCACCTTCCTGCACTCATGATGCCAGGGCTCTCACGCGACTCCCTCCTGCTCAGAAAGCTGCCCGGGCCCCCTGTGCCCACATCCGTCCCCTTCAGGGGCCCTGCCCCCTGAAGATTTCCCTGCAAATATTCAGGCTGCTGCCACTTCCTCACCTTGGTGCTGAGCAGGCCTTTCCGGCAGACGGCCAGGTCGGTGCCCCTGCAGACCCCTGCCTCGGCTGCCTCTCACTGCTGGAGCCCCCTTTCCACGCTGCTCCCTCATCGGAGATCCAGCTCAAGTCTCCCCCGCCCCCCGTCCTCACCTCCCCTTACTGGGGGCCCGACATGCTGGCCTGTCACCGTATGCTGCTTGCCTAAGTTCTGTGTTGTAGCACTGGTCCGTCCTCCCCAGTGTGACCATGGCTTCTCACGGCAGAGGCCCTAACATGTGCTTTCTCAGGATCCCACCAACACGGTGCCTGCCATCAGGGAACCTCCACAAGTGTTTGTGGAAAAAGTGAAGAAGCCCGTGAGGGAGGGAGTTCTGGAATACTCCATCACCTCTCTCCTGTATGACCCGCACTGCCATTGTTCCTGATGGCCAAGCCTCCACTGCCACCAGCGGGATCCCAGCAGAGGTGTGGCTTGGACCCCACCCTCACCTGCCACTCATCCGAAATGCCCGGTCTCACTGTCGGCACACCCGCTGCTCCCTGCAACTCGCCTGTGGCCTTGGACTCCCCTCCAGCCCCTCTCCACGTGGCCTCCGGCCCATCGACCTTCGCGGCCTCGCCGCCCCGACCAGCTTGTGCCCCATGGCTAGCTGAGCTGTCCCCTGGAATCCTTTTTTGCCCCCAGCCTTCTGCCACAGCTGACTTCTGGGGTCAGCTGGTCACTGTCCCACACCACAGCCGGGGAAAGAGGAAGCCTCGTGGTCCATCCGTTGGCCCAGCCTCACCCAGACGGCTTCACGGCCGGCCTCCCCGAAGCCCCATTCCAACCGCTCATGCAAAGGCTTGCTTGAAAATCAGCAACTCACCACAGTCAAAGGTCTTGACCACCTGTCTTCCTCCTCTGCCCCTCTGCAACACGGAGCCCCTCACCCGAGATCTCTCACAGGGTGGACTGTGCCCACCTGGCTGCCCGCTTCCCCCTACCCCAGGACCTCTCGCTTCTCCCTGGTGACCTCAGGTGCTCAGGGCATCGGTGACTGTCCTGATAAAGATGCTCCCCAACCTGCAACTGCAGCCGCAGCCCCTAGAGCCCCTCCTCCAACTACCTGCTGAAGATCACCCCTCAAGGAATGTGCCTGCACCCCGAACTCCACCTGTCAAAGCCCAGATTCATCGTTTGTCCTCCCACAGAAGGGCCCTGTCTGACTGCTTGGTTGTGCCTGCTGGTGCCACTGTCTCCTGGGCCCGAGGTCAGAAATCCTGTCGCTCTTGGCTTCTTTCTTGAAGAATATTAATAATCCTAATAGCAGACATGTATGTGCCGGTCACTATTGGAAGCATTTTACTTACATGAACTTGTCTCTGCTATTTATATGCTATTGGCACACGTGCTGTCCTTGTCGCGTGTGTACTATTGTGACACCCAATTTCCACGGAAGACGACCGAGGCGCAGGGAGGGTAAGCGACTGGCCTGGGATCTGGGAGAGGCGCCGCTGACACGTGCGCCCAGGACCGCGGGGCCAGAGCTGCACTCCCCGCTGCACTTCTGTTGCTCACACGATCTCCACACCTGCTCCCAAACCTGGCTCTCCATCTCCATTTCCGCCACGAACCCGATTCAGGCCCTCTGTGCTTGGCCGGATTATCCCATTCATCCACTCCCCGGTGACCCTGCTTCTGGCCTCTTGTCTATTAATTCGCCCTGATCCTTGCTAGCAGAGCCATCGGCCTTAGTGAAGCTCTGCTCAAAATTCCGCAGCGGCCCCCCTGCAGAAATGGCCCAAAACTCTCGGCAACGCTCCATGTCTTGGTCGGCCCAACCTGCTGGGTCGAGCCCCATCGCCCTGCCTCCCCCAAAACAGGACGACTTGCCCCTCCCTACCCTGCGCCCTGTCTCCTCCCTTCACCCGTCAGAGCACAGCTCATGGGCCCCTGCCTCCCACCACCAGTGGGATCTATCACCAGGGGCCTTAGGGACCCGACACTGTCACTACTAATTACGCAGGTATCCTATCTTTTGTTCCCTAGCAGGCCAGGCTCTGGCCCTGGCTCCTGAAGAGAACTCAGTCCAGGACGGGAGGAGGAGGGGCAATGTGCTGGTGGGCGGTGTAACCCTTGGAGTCTGAAGGCCTAGATCTGCATCTTGGCTCCACCACTTACTAGGAACTGGACTTGACTCTCTGAGGGTCACACTTGGCATCTCGAGCAAATGGCACTGACTCCCTGTGCAAGGCTCACTGAGAGGGCCCAACGCGGGGGCGGGGCGGGAAAGTGGCCAGCACGGGGCGGGGGGGGGGGGACCCATGGGTGGTGCTTAATGAGCTGCCCTCAGGGTATCTGCTGATGTCACTGATTATTGTTCAAGGGGCTGGCAGACATGTGGAATCTGGCTCCCTCCCCAGGTGGCAGGCACTTGACCTCCAGGCTGTTCTGGTTCTAGAACCAGAACAGCACACACAGTTTACCCACTGACCAGTCCATAGGGCACTTACGTGGTTGGTCCTGCTCTTCCGCTACATTTCTTACGTGGTTGGTCCTGCTCTTCTGTTACGTTTCCAATAACCTACGAATGAAGAAATTTTCAGCTCAGTTAAAGAACTGGAAACAGAAGCAGAAACCTGGAGTAACTACCTGCCTCTTAGTGACCCGAACCTGGAAAACTCTAAAACCAGAGCTCTGGCGAGCTGGCATTCCTAACACTTAAATGAAATTGGCTACAGAGAGTGGTTCAAAAATTAGTCATCGGATGACAGAAAAACAAAAAATGCTGAGAAAATGGTTAGTTCTAGAGCAACCTGGGCAAAGGCTGAAGACGAAGGCGAGACTAGGAAGGTCGGGATGAATGCCGCCCACCGGAAGTATAATGTGAGCCACACAAGTATCTAAAAAAATTTTAGTGGTCATGTGATAGAGTCAAAATAAATCAGTAAAATTAATTTTCACAATACATTTCATTTAGTAGCCCAATGCATAAAAATATTTTCATTTCAACATGTAATCGATGTAGACATTACTAATGAACTACTTCACATTCCTTTTCTTATTCCAAGTCTTATAAGTCTAGTCTGCATTTTGTACTCACGGCGCATCTCAGCCTGGCCTCTCACACTTCAAGGGCTCAGGGCCACCGATTCGGGCAGTGCAGGCTTGGCCGCGCACGCACCAGCCTCCTTCCCACGAAGCATCAGCCTCGTCCTGGAGCCATGCTAGTGGTCCAGCAGCCTCGCCTGCAGCAGTGACTGAGCATCACCGCTGGAGCTGTTTCCGTTCACCTCTCCTTCCCAAAGCTCCAGACCAAGCACCTCGCCATTCCCCAGTTAATGGCTTTACAGTCGAGATGCTTGCCAAAGAAACTACTTTTCAGAACAAATTTTTTCAAGTTATATGGTGCTAGCGGTACTGACAACTGGAGTAATTTCCTTTCATTGAACGAACTTTTTTAAGTTAAATCAACCAGTTGTCATGGAGTTCGGGTACACAGGGCACCTTCCTTTGGTTCAGATCTTCTAGTGAAAGACCCTCAACACTGAGTGAAAAATTACTTTGATTCCTGGGGACCAGTCTGCTGAGGAGATGACTAAACGTAATACCCACTCTTTGGGAATTGAAAATAACTTTTTTAAAAAAGAACACTTGAGATCCAAATTGTACTCATTGGTAACGATGCCTTAACACTTTCTTCAGCTGATTTTTTTCTAACTTGTTTAGAGGTGAGTCAATGAACTGATAATGTATTACTTAGGGGTCTTCATGGTATTTGCAACCTGCAATATGAAAACAGTACCCTTGGGAAATCTTATCCTAATGCCAATATTCCCACACAGTCTCGGTCAGCACTGACCAACAGAACGTGGTGCAGTGCAGTTCTTTTCTATCAGGCTATCCAAAACGGCAGCCAGCCCCTGGCCAGCTAGCTCAGTTGGTTAGAGTGTCATTCCAACACACCAAGGTTGCGAGTTTGATCCCCAGTCAGAGCACATACAAGAATCAACCAATGAGTGCATAAATAAGTGGAACAACAAATCGATGTTTTTCTCTCTCGAATCAACAAATAAGAATAAAAACTATTTTTTAAAATATCAGTAAAAATGGTAGCCACTAACCATGCGCAGTTACCGAGAACTTGAAATGTGACTACTGTGACTGAAGAACTAAATGTTAAATTGTATTTATTTTTAATCAATTAAATTTTATATGTAAATCACTTTATATGTGGCCAGTACCTACTTACTGAACAGTGCAGGTCTCGGAAAATAGAAATCTAGTTCATCAATTTGGTTTAAGACGTGTGTGGAATGACATGAACCCTAAGTGCCATCCCCTTGCAGAAAGCTGCCTCTTTAGCACTCCCTGTGGGAGGGACAGATCAGTCTTGCAAACACCCCTCCAGTGAAGGCTGACATGGAAAACGATGAAGTTGCAAGAACATCTGTTCACATCTGGTCCATGTCCTTTGGGACTTGAGAAGGGGTTGCTTGTCTGGTCACCAGTTCTCCAGGGCATATGGGCTGCTTTCTAGGTTGGCCCAAGATCTCTGGGGGACTGAGGAAGGCTCAGGAAGTAAAACCAGACCGTTATTACCTACTCCAAGTCACCCAACTCCACAGAAGTTCCTCTCTACCTGGGCCCTCCTAGGCTATACCACGTGGACATTACAACTATAGCAGCCAAGAGCAAGGGGTCTTCTGCAAAATCTCACTTGAAGCCCAGAAGTATAACTGTAAGTTGAAGAGGACCAAAGACAGCAGGAGGCTGCGCGTTAGGCCCCAGAAACAGCCAGCTGCACCCCTGCCTGGAAAGCTCACCGCAGCCGGAGAATTCATTCCACCCCGAAACAAAGCAGGATCTCGGAGGAACCCGGCACACGCAACGACCCAGACAGCAAGTAAAACAAACGCGTCTGTTTCTTTCAAAAGGCCTAAATCTTCAAACTTTGTTTTCAACTTGGAACTCTTCCTTTACTAGCCTTTGAAATACCAATTCAAGTTTGAAACATTTTAGTTTTAAAGAAAAGTATACATACACATTACAAACAGCCATACGACTATTATTACTGGCATGATTAAAAGTGGATATCTACTCCTTGAATGATCTGTAAAAAAAAAAAAAAAAGAAAAGAAATACAATTAGCTCAATTGATCAAAGTGGAGATATAGTCGATCCCCCGTATTTGCAGTTTTCATGTTTGTAATTTACCCACTTGCTAAAACTGATTTGCATTCCCCAAACCATGCTCGCAGCTCTTTCTCAGTCACCTGCGGACATGCGCAGAACGATGAAAACGCGAGCCGCCCACTGCGCACGTCCTGCCAAGTCTGAGCACCGCAGCGCTCTGCCTCCTGTTTCAGCGCTCACATCACGAACAAGTGTTCTGTTCCTGTTCTCGTGAGTTACGTTTTTGCCCATATTTTTGGCTTGTTTTTTTTGGTTGGTGATCCCACTGTTAAAATGGCCCCAGGCACGGTGCGGCAATGCTGTGATGTGCCTTACAAGGGAAATACGTATGGTGGGCAAGCTTCATTTAAGCATGAGTTATAGTGCTGTTAGCTGTGAGTTCGATGTTAATTAGTCAATGATATGTATTAATTAAGATGTCTTTTTAAAAAAAAACAAGAACAACAACAAGGTTATCTATTGATATTTTGCCAAAACCGCTGTGACGGGAGGCTGGCAGGAGCCTGCCCTGGTACTTCTCCTGGGGGCTGTGGTTGAGCATCAGCTAAGTCTGTGTTTGCAGTGACTTCATACAACGTCACTACCATGAAAAAGGAGAACCCACGACTATTTCCTTTGCACACCATCAACGGAACAAATGGGAGAAGATATTCACCAATGATACATCTGATTATGGGTTAACATCCACAATTTATAAAAAACTCATACTACTCAACACCAAAAAAAAAAAATCAAACAATCCAATTAAAAATCTATAGATATCTTTGGTTAGTATAGGCATTTTAATTATGTGAATTTTTCCTATCCATGAACATGGTATATGCTTCTATTTATTTGTATCTTCTTCAATCCCTTTCTTCAGTGTCTCGTAATTCTCCAAGGACAGATCTCTTTACCCCCTTGGTTAAATTTATTCCTAGTACTTTTGATGCAATTGTAAGTAAGATTTTCTCAGTTTCTCTTTCTGATAGTTCATTATCGGTATATAAAAATGCAATCAATTTCTGAATGTTAATTTTCTACCCCACTACTTTACTGAATTCATTTATCAGTTCTAGTTTTTTTTGTTTTGTTTTTTGGTGGAATCTTTAGGGCTTTCTATGTACAGTGTCATGTCATCTGCAAATAATGACAGTTTTACTTCTTCCTTTCCAATTTGGTTGCCTTTTATTTCTTCTCCTCGTCTGACTGCTGTGGCTGGAACTTGCAGCGCGATGTCGAACAACCGTGGTGAAAGCAGACACTCCTGTCTTGTTCCCAGTGTTAAGGGAAAAGGTCTTAGTCTTTCCTTGTTGAATATGATGTGACTGCAGGTCTGTCATATGTGGCCTTGACTATGATCAGGTATGTTACTTCTGTTCCCACTGAGAGTGCTTTTTAAATCATAAATGGGTGCTGCACTTTATGAAATGCTTTTTATGCACCTATTGATATGATCATGTAATTTCTATCCTTTCTTTTGTTTATGCGGTGTATTTAATAAATTGATTTGTGGATATTGTAACAACCTTGCATCCCAGGAACACATCTCACTCGATCATGGTGTATGATTTCCAGTTTCGCAACACTGTGGTCAGAGATGATGCTTGATGTGATTTCAATCTTCTTCAATTAATCGAGGCTTGTTTTCTGTCCTAACACATAGTCTATCTACCACATCTTTCATGTGCACTTTAAAATAATGCATATTCTGCTGATTTAAAATAATGTGTATTCTTGGGTAAAAGGCTCTGAAAATATCAGTTAGATGCACCTCATCCAGTGTGTCATTGAAAACCACTGTTTCCTTGTTGACTTTTTGTCTGAAAGATCTGTCCATTGATGTCAGTGGGTCTTAAAACCCCCTACTATGACTGTATTACTGTCAGTTTCTCCCTTTATGTCCATCAAGATTTGCTTTACATATTTAGGTGCTCCTCAGTGGTGTGCCTCATTGTGTACAAGGGTTATATCCTCCTGTTGGACTGGTCCCTTTATCATCATGTCATACCCTTCTTTGTCTCTTGTTATTGCTGTTCTTTTAAAGTTTATTTTCTGTAAGTATTGCTACCCTAGCTTCTTTTCATTTCCATTTTGATCTTTTTTTTAAATAATTTATTATTTATTTATCTTTAGAGGGGAAGGAGAGAGGGAGAGAAACATCAATGTATGGTTGCCTTTTGTGCGTCCCCTGCTGGGAACTGGCCTGCAGGGAACCGGCCTGCAACCCAGGCATGTGCCCTGACTGGGAATCGAACCGCGATTGTGTGGTTCGCAGGCCCGCACTCAATCCACTGAGCTACACCAGTCAGGGCTCATTTCCATTTTGCATGAAATATTTTTTCATCCCTTTACTCTTAGTCTCTATCTTTCATTTGAGGTGTGTCTCTTATAGACAGTATACACATACACACAACACACACACATACACACATGACTTGTTTTCTTATCCATTCAGTTACCTTATGTCTTTTGATTAGAGCATTTAATCCATTTATATTTAAAATGGTCACTTTATTCTTTATAACTATGTTCCTTTTTTTCTTTCTTTTTCTTAAAGAAGACTCTTTAACATTTGTTGCAATACTGGTTTGGTGGTCATGAACTTGTTAGCTTTTCCTTGTCTGAAAAGCTCTTTATTTCTCCCTTGATTTTAAATGATAGCCTTGCTGCATAGAGTTGTCTTGGTTGTAGGTCTTTGCTTTTCATCACTTGGAATATTTCACTCCGATCCCTTCTGTGTCCAATCCCTTCTGAAATGGTGCTGTTGAGAAATCAGCTGACAGTCTTACGGGACCTCCCTTGTAGGTAACTAACCGTTTTTCTCTTGCTGCTTTTAAGATTCTGTCTTTGTCTTAAACCTTTGTCTTTTTAATTATGATGTGTCTTGAAGAAGGCCTCTTTCAGTTCATCCTGTTTGGGACTCGCTGTGTTTCCTGGACATGTGAGCTTTTCCTTCACCAAGTTAGAGAAGTTTTCCGTCATTATTTCTTCAAATAGGTTCTCAATTCCTTGCTCTCTCTCTTCTTTGGATGTGGATGTTGTTACACTAATGTATTGTACCAGAGCCCCCTTAAACTATACTCATTTTGTAAAATTCCTTTTTCTTTCTGCTACCCTGATTGGGTATTTTCTGCTACCTTGTCTTTTGAATTGCTGATTCAGTTCTTTGCTTCTTCTAGCCTGCTGTTGACTCCTTCTAGTGCCTTCTTCATTTCGGATATCATATGTATCATTTCTATTTCTTTTTAATGGTATTTATGTCCTTTTTATGTTTACTGTCTCTTTAAGTTCTCAGTGAGTTCATCCATTCTTCCCCTAGTTCCCTGAGCAACCTTATAAACACTGTTTTAAACTCTCTTTCTGGTAGCCTGGTTGCCTCCATTTCATTTAGTTCCTTTTCTGGGGATTTTTCCTGTTCTTTTAATTGGGGCATGTTTGTCTCCCCATTTTGGCTCCCCTCTGTATTTTTTTCTGTGCATTAGGTAGACCTGCTATGCCTCCAAGTCTTGGCACGGTGGCCTTATGTAGCAGGTGTCCTGTAGGGCCCAGTGCCACAGACTCCCTGACCACCGGAGCTGGGTGCTCCAGGAACGCTCTGGGTGGCGGGAGCCCTCCTGTTGTAGTTGAGTCTGGATTGCTGCTGGCCTGCCCGTGGGTGAGGGTTCCCCTCTGGCTGTAAGGATTGACCCTGACGGCAGTGGATGAGCTGCTGCACAGGGGCCGACTCCATGAAGCAGAATCCACCCAACAGCGTCCGGTGGCTGCCCAGCTGTCCCTCTGGGTGCCACTTGTGGAGCTAACGGAATCCTGCTCTGGTGTAGTCTAAAGCTCGCCACCGCGTGTGTTGGTTCTGGGGCAACTTAGGAGGGACTCTCGTGCACATCAATGTCCGGTGATGCCTGTGACTGGCCCTGGGCTGTTTAGAGCTACAAAGCAATGCACAGTTTGCCTCCGTTGGGCCTAGGTGTGCGTGGGAGGAGCCAGGCTGCACACCAAGGCTGGCGTCCACTAGCACTGAAGCTGGGGCAGACCAGCAAAAGGCCTGAGGCTGAGATGTTCCTCCACCGGCTGGCCGCCTGTTAGGTTCAGTCACCGAAAGAGCCTCTGGTGATATGTGAGTTGTATGCAGTGACTCGGTGAGTCACTAGGTAGGGGTGAGTAGTGTTCATCAGACTGATATCGATTCAAACTCAGCACCATTGCTGGGTCTGGGGCCACTCAGCGACACTCTCAGGCTGCACCTAGATCAGTCACACCCACCAGGGTCTCAGGGAGTCATCAGGGTGAGACCAGCAGAGTTAATCAGGCCCAAACAGACCAGGATTTGGCCGTGTGAAGGGAGGGCTCTGCACAGGAACGGTGGCACCAGCTGGCTGTGGGAGAGAAAAATGGCCCCTGACTTGGAACCACACAACTCAGTCTCTGACCCCTGCTGTGTTTGCTCCCAACATCCAGTTGACACCACAGGCTCTGGTAGTGGCCTCCTCCACAGAGTCGGGAGGGCGGGGCAGCTGCATTTCGCCAGGTTGGTGCCATGAGGAAGGGAGTGCTCAACCCAGCAAAGACGGCATCTGCGGGTGGTGCAGAAGAGGGACTCAGCACAGGGACCCCGGTGGCTGTCCCTTCAGCACTTTCCCCCGAGCCACAATATGCAGTCTGTCCTAGCACATCTCCAGTCCTCTCAGATCTGCCCTCCCTCTGCTGCAGCCCAAGGTGAGTGGGTGCAAATGAGATTTTGTGCAGTGAAGCCTTTAAGAGAGTGCCTGGGTTTTCAGCAGATGCCCATCTCTCCCAGGCGGACAGAATCCCCACTGATCTTCACAGCCAGCAGCTATGTGGGCTCCTCTTCCTAGCTCTGGTGCTCCGGGCTGGAGAACCCAGTGTGGGGTTGAGACTCCATGTTCCTCAGGGGGAACTTTGGCAGCCAAGACATCC